AACATAGTCCATGAAGGAGTAGACATGCAATTGGCCTTCTTCTAATGATATTTCTATGACTTCCACCAATGTAGTATTGTTGATGGAACTGTTCTTTTCTTTCCCTTCCATAATTTGAATGTCTGCAGCAAACAATTTGGGAGGGCTGAAAGCGCGATTGCATATCAGCCGGAAACCATCGTCTCTGTAACAGCTTGGGTCGTCTCCAAGGCCGAACGGGTACGGAACGGTGATGTTCCCACATCTGTTTGGGCAGCCTGGCTTCGCCATGATTGGTGATGAGATCGCAGTTACTATGCAGAGATTCCACAATAACAGCCATTGTTAAGTTTCTACACTTGGTATTTTCCCCTCCCTCTTTCGTTTGTATATATTTATAAGCCTTAGCTTCCTCCCTCTCACACACGGACAAAAAAAAAAAAAAGAAAAAAGAAAGAAGAGTTTGCGTGACTTTGTTTTCCACCATTTAGGAAGCATTCACTGCATTTTCAGCGAAAGTCAATTCCTAATGACATAGATTAATACAATTTGTCGTCTGTGTTTACGCGATGAAAGCCTGGAAGTGCATCTCTTTCGGGAAAAGGATGTCAATGGGTCGGACCCAGGTTTAGAACAACCGAATGGAATCGAAATTTTCTAACACGTAAAATGGTAATTTATTARCACCCGTTACTGTGTTTAATGTTTAACATCAAACCACTGAYATGATGGGGTTACGGGACGTTTTGAAAAGTTATGGTGAGTCGTTTGTTTGAAGGTTTCCCTAAAAATAAACATTATGGTATGGGGTAAAAAAAAGTTATTTATCCTCTTGGATCCCCATGCTTTTTTATCATTGTCTTCACATTTGAAGAGTTTATAAAAAGAAAAAAAAAATAGAGCAATGTGTAAAGTTGAATAAAATTATAAATCGCTTTTTATACTAGATTGGTTACTTGATTCAGACAAAAATATCTGTAAGTTGTTTCTNCTCATAAAAAACTATAGTCATTTCAAACACTTTTTTTTCTAAATTTTTTATTTAAAGAACCAATAAAAATATCAACAAATAAATACTAATAAAACATAGGATTCATATATATAGTGAAAGTTGAATTAAAATATGAGATTAATTAAGAAGTTTTATAATATTATAAAAGATGAGAAGAAGGTTGGAGCCCATCCAAACCCGAAATTGACTTTGGGTTAGGTTGGATTGGGTTGAGGTTAAAAAAATTTAGTTGAGGTTAGGATTAGGATTGGGCTAGGGTTGGCCTCAACCCGACTTTGCAGCCCTATTGTAAAGACATGGCTGAAGCACACCTCCTAAAATTGTCATGAATACCACCTGATTGGTCACATCTTTTATGACACCAGTTGATTAGCTGCCTTTCCAGTGTCATAATTGATCCTGGTATGATTGGTTCTGTGTCTTTATTTTTCAATTGTATCAGAATTGGACTGTTGCTTCATATAATCAATGGGGACCTGATCTAGTACTATATAATGTCAATACTTGCTTCGCAATCTCGCATCCCAAGATTCCCAACTAGGAGAGATCTACTATATCCTCTCT